TGTACTATTTGCTTTGAGATCTCTATCTCTATATCTAATCTATTTCATCTACCTATATCATCTATGTCATAGTATGCCCTAAGCAAGACTGTAAATTCCACAGGACAGGTTGCATAAAATTTTCTTCTGCAGACATGACTCAGTGAGTTGGCATAGCTTAGAGGCTGGGAAGTGAGGACAGGTTGAAGAGATCCACGGAGGTGCTGGGACCCCACTGTTGTGACACTTTGTATTAAATCCCAGTCCCTGCACTGTCACAAGTCTTAAAACTTGTTGATGTTGATTTAGTGTGCCTGGACTTGCCTTGATGGTTTGACCTCTAGTTCCTCGGCAATATCCCTATAAGACTGTATTTAGTGCTATTTAATGCCTACCAGTACAAAATTCTTAAATGGAGGTAAAGGGACACTTTTTTTTAAGAGACCCATTTTTGCTGAAGGATCCAGACTTTTCAGATTCAGGGGTTTTGCCTGTCAAGCTCCTTGACCTTCCTAAAATCAACCAAGGCCTCATCCTTTAACAAGAGAATTACTGTGTGCTCCTAACCCTTTTTGCTTAGTGTCCCCTGACCTTTGATATCATCAGCTGCCTTTTCTCACCTTACCCCCCAGGGAAAAAAATCAACCAGGAAGCTTGGAAATCAAGTGACCAAAGCAATAAGTAAGAGCTGGGGCAGACAGCACGACTAACCACCGTGCCTTCCTGCATATTTGCTTTGGTTTAAAGAGTTACTGGGGATAGTATGCTCACCTTTTGTTTTGCAGGGAGCTTTGCTTTCTTAGTAAATAGCTCTTTTAAAAAGTATCTCTATGTGACTGATCAAACAAATCCTTAAAGCAGACCGACAGCCTTCTCTGGGATCAGCCAGGATGGCAGACATGACACCCGGGCCATTGGCCCCTGCCCATGCCACTCAGGAGTCTGTGTTAATTTTCTGTCCACACCACAGCCCCTCACTCATTGTTTCTTTCAGCTGTAGCTTTTGGTAGCTGACACCTCCACCAAGTGGTAGACTCTTCACATGGGTTTTTGTGTCCAGATGAAGCCAGGGTGCCTCATCCTGGGGCAATGCATGGACATTCCTATTGATCTGGAGTTGATTGCTTTGGTTTCACAGACACCTTTTAACCTGGTTCTCCACAAAGCAGGGCACTAAGGTGGGTTGGGGTGAAAATGGGCACGGGGTCATTCGTAGTAGTTCCTACAAGGAAAAAGGGCAAATTCCCCCGTTCTCAACAGGAACCTGCTCAGGCTGATCTGCTGACAAGGTCACACCCACCCTTCAAGGCCCTGCTGATGCTGACCATCCTCCTCTGATTTCTCACCTCCCATATGCACCGACACCCCCAGGACACACACATACACAGGCTTCATGCCAGTTCTCTCCTCCGGCCTTTGTTCATGCCCTTCTCTCCTGACAAGTCCTTCCCTTTCCCATGTAGCCATTCAAATCCTTCTCATCTGTCCGTCACAAAGTCTCTCTAGAATCTTCCTCACAGTGTGGTTCTGGTTCTTATCTTCTTGTTTTATGTGAGTCAGTTTGGTTCTGTTATACATGAGCTTATAGTCTGCACACTCTAGGAGGAAAGATATCCTATTATTCCTTTTCATATAGTTCCTACATTCCCTAAATATCACTCAAGTACCCTTGGATACACACTTCTGAAATGCCCACAGCTACCCACCTTAAATTGGAGATCAATAAGTTTTTGCTAACTGGTGGATTTTTCCATAGCTTATATTAAAGAGAAGAAAAAGGCTGAGTGTAGTGGTGCACACCTATAATACCAGCACTCTGGGAGGCTGAGGCAAAAGGATCACAAATTCAAAACTAGCCTGGGCAACTTCGGCAACTTACATTTCAAAATTTAAAAAACAATAAAAGGGCTGAGGGTTCAGCTCAGCATGAAGGCCCTGGGTTTAATCTTCAGTACTGCAAAATAACAGCAACAGCAATAATAACAGCAACAACAAATAAAATGACAGAGGCTGAACATGATCCATGAGGCTTGCTTTGGATCTTTGAAAATGAGCGTGTCTAAACACATACCGGCCTTCATGTGCATTTCTTTTTTATTTAATTGACCACCAAGGGAGTCTGACTTTAGCTCTTCCTGTCTAGTTAGAACAATTCACATTAGTAAAGATTAAACGAACCTCTGTTAAATGCATCTCTCTGTGCTGGAACCTGCCTGACACTGGGATTGGAGGCCTGCTCCTGGAGAAGGGAGTGGAAAAGCTTTTATTAGTCACCACTCACTTCCTTCTCAGTGCTAATGGGAAGTGACCATGACAGCTATGAAAAGAAACCACAGTCTCTTCAGGGTGAGGTAAACATGAGGAGGAAGTCTGAAAGGATCAGAAAAGCAGGAACGTAGGACTTCAGTGTCCAGAAACACAACTGATTGATTCTCAAAGTCCACACTGTAGCTCAAAATAACTCAAATGATCGATTACACAAGTGGCACACCACTCACCAGGACTAGATGAGCCGGCACACAGCTCTTTCTGGGGGGCGGCCAACCCTTCCACAGTCAGGGAACAAAGTCAGGAAAGGTCCTTGACAAGAGCTAAATTTATCCAGCTGCTTGAGGGCATGAACTTCAGGGCCAAAGGGCACCTGAGGTATCATTCAGATGCCAGGGAAAGAAACCAGAAAAAACAGTACCTGGGGCTGGTGACTCACAGCAGCAAAAAAGGGGACTCTCACCTGTGCTGACTCTTGCAGCTATCTGTGCGTGTGTTTGTGTATATGTGTGTGTATAGGGGTGTCTATCACAGTGTGTGTATGTGTAGGGGTGTCTATCACTGTATGTGTGTGTGTGTATGTATAGGGGTGTCTACCACAGTGTGTGTGTGTGTGTGTGTGTGTGTGTGTGTAGAGGTGTCTTCCCACTGAGGACCTTGAGGCATCTTGGCAATTTTGAAATGGCAGATCAGAAGCCACCACCAGCTTCTGCTATCTCTGATGACTCCTAGAAATGTAATGTTTTCTCTAAGAACTAGGTAAAGGGCTGAGAACGGCAAAAACATGCCAGCTTATTCCCAGTGATCAAAGCAGAATCCCACTTACTGGTGAAGAACAGAGAACTATGTTGAGACCATTGTCAATGTGGACACGAGTCTAATTTGTAAGGAGTCAGGAAAAGCCATGATGGTGTGTTATCATTGCCTCTCAGGGTGACTCTCAATGGTAAGATGGGCAGCAGGAGGTAGGAGGTGAGGGTTATTGCTGAGCAACTACTAAGACCTTTTGGAAAACATTCAGCCCTTTAAGTATCATCTTCCATTTACAGATAAATAAACCAAGATTTATGGATCTTGCTAATGTAATAATGGTAATGATAGTAGTAAGTGCTCAAATTTGGTTGCATAGATCCAACACCTGGGCTCTGTCTGCTGGGCTTCAGAGATTTCTAGCTCTCTCTGTTCTCTATGAGGTTGAAATCCCAGCAGGGGAGGACCCCATAGAGTCAGGCCATGGGGAGGGAGTTGGAGAGCCTTGTTCATAAAACCTCACGGACCAATCAAAATCTTAGACCAATCAAAATCTGACCATCAGTCAACACCCTCCTTGGGGCTAACATCACTTTCCTACTTGGAATTTTTATTTCTTCCAGAATGGCATTTTCTGAGAAACACACTTCATGAAGTGAACGTGGGCTTTTCTCTTTGCTGTTAGAGTATGATTACCTTTCTGGTCATGTATCGTCTCCTTGATCTTTGCCCTCAGTGCTAGGAAGTGCACATTTGCTCAGCCTTTATACCACAGGCTCTGAGCAGCATGTGCTCTAATTGGGACTGAGTCCACTTAGCAGATGCCCTTCTATTGACCCTTTCAGGAAACTCTTATCCCCTTGGGTTCTCCTGGGGCCTCCTGGCAGCGACAGCGCTGAGATGGGGCAGAATGGACAGATACCTACTCCTCCACACTAAGTCCACTAATGATCTCACCAGCTGCTTCAAGACTAACCTTAAATGCTTTTGCCCCTGCTTAATTCCTCCCACTTCCTTCCTTTGGTCACTTCAAGCATTAGCTACAGATACTTGTAACGCGTTCAGTACTCTAGAGGAAAGCAAGCAATGAGGACCACACTCTCATCTCCAGGCATGCAAGACGGTTGCTCAGATCCATGTGCTGGCTCCAGGAATCCCCAGTAGTTTCCTTTACTCTTCTTGTGCTAAAGCTGATGTTTCTTAGGATTTTGTCTGGGGCATCTTACGGTGACAACAGTCAGTACCCATAAATCCACGACTGACATATCTCTTTACAGACCCTGGCACCCATCTGTCCATCAGATACCTCAACTTGGGAGCCTCTCCAGACATGGGAGGTGCTCAGTGAGTCTTGTTTGATCACATGAACATTTTTGTAGAAAGGATGTTGTCAGGGGATTGTTTAAACCTCAAAGCCTGGCAGCTCAGGCAGAGATAAACCTCTGACTTGCTGATTTCATGGTCCCGCTTTATCACTGCTGCTTTGTGAGGCCCTTCAGAGTGGTAGAAAGATCAAAAGCCTGATCATTTCAGGTCCAGACCTTGCTAGCACATCTAGTTTTATCATCTGACTATCTGAAGATTACAGGTCAAGCTGTGAGGTAGGCAGTGTGGGGTCCCAGCTATGACTCTCGATCTGGTTCTGAGGCAAATTAGTTGTGTTGCTCTAGGCAACACTCTTCTTGAGTCTTTGAGTCTCAGGAGATGGTTGAACCACTTGATGTCTAAGGTTCTTCTGACACTTCCCTTTCAGTGGAAAGTATTTTAGCACTTCTGGGTAAGATTCCACCCCCCACCCCAGCAGCAATGTAGAGTTCATCTTATTTCTCTGGTGTTTTGCTTAGACTTATCTAATGAGACTAACTAGTTGTTGGTTTCACTGCTATCCAGAATTCAACCCACTGTCATAGGAGAGGCTTCAGGATAAATATGAAAATGTCTCTGTCCCACACAGACTCTTATATTTGTTCAGCTTGCCCATTTTCCTTTGTTCTGGAACACAGGTTGGCAGAGGCAGTTATGGCCTGAGCATGCCAGGTAAGAGTGTCCCTGTGTGGACGACTGCACGAGGGGGCTGTAACTGCAGGTGGACAGTGTCTTGACAGACATGCCTAATCCATAAAGGACACACCTTTGTTGTTACCTTTCCAACCAACCTCCTTTGTGGGTACAGAGTTATTCTAAAATTGTTTGGGAGTTGCTATTTCTTTCTGACTACAAACAGTTTAAAGTTTAATCAAAGTTTAAACAAGTCAAATGTGCTAAAAAATATTGACTGTAGCAGTCTAGTAGCCTCCAGTCTTCTTGATGAGGGCAAATATGTACAAAGCTTTCAGCTTTTCCTTGTGACAGTTGTTCCTTGTTTTCAAGTAATATGTACATACTATTGTTACTTGAGCAATACTTTGACCTTTTTTCTATTTATTGGAGATGAGGTTTTAGATCTCATTTACTTCTATCTTCTTCTCACATGGGTCCAGCAGAACACTAAAATATTTTTTACTGATTTCCTTCTCTGAACGCCTGCAGATATCTATTGCCTCACTCATTCCGGCATGCACTAATTCATACCTCTCAGATTGTTTTTGGATGTGGTCACAAACCCATGTCCACCAAGAGCCAGGATATAATGAAGTCTCCTCTGTGAGTTGGACAACAGACAGCATGAGGGGCTGGTGAGCTAGAGAATGGGCACTTTCATTTCAAGCAATTGTTGCCCAGGGGAAGGTGGGTTAAGAAGTGCACATCTTCCAGTTTTCAAGAAAAGCAGATATCCAGATTTCTATGTCTTGGTTACTTTTCTGTCATTGCTGAGACAAAATACCTGACACCCACAGTTAAGGAAGGAAAGGTTTATTTAGCTCACAGTTTGTGCTGGTTTCAGTCCATACTCAGCTGGCTCCAAGGCAGGGTGGCACAGGGCAGAAGGCAACAGTTCATGGGCAGAAGACAGCAAAAGCAGGAAGAGTAAAAAGGGAGGAGCGGTGGCAAGCAGCTCCTTCCCTCCCTCACATTGTATGCAAACTACCTGCTCCAGGGCAGGTGTAGCACCCACATCCATAATCATAATCAATCATGAACTCTAAACGCCCACCCCATGGCTGCATGAGGCTTTTAGGGGATGTCCAGACACAAACCATAACACTATGACTTGTTAAAATATTGGTTCAATTTTACACAAACATTGTGTGGGACAAACACGATGACTATTTCACACTGTATGTTTGCAGTTTCTGGCATGGGTCTCTCATCATGAGATGGCTCTTGAGCTCCTTGTTTTTGAATTCCACTCGGCATCTCAGACATTAGCTAATATATATATAGTAGATGCCTGATAAATACTTGCTCAACTTTTTGGGACACCATATCCACACCAAGCAAAATTATTGCTCATACGTGCTGTAAGGAGAAATCTCCCCCTAAAACTCATGTATGTATGAAAGACACTCTTGCCCACAAACTTGGTGGGGTTAACACATTTGCCTGGTAGATGTAAGTGAACTATTACTGTGTTCTTGACCTTCTGAAATGAAACCCTCGTTCAGCCTTCCACTCCTCAAAGCTCTTACTAACAGCGGACGCACACTGCCTCTTCTTTACCATTCTGTTTGCTTTCCAGTCATCCCTCCACCTACCATCCTTGCCCAAAGTCTCTCTTGCTTAGAGCCTGTGAATGCTGTGGTGTGAGTCAGTCTTGTCCTACCAGTGACTTCAGTTAGACTCTAACGACTTGGATCAGACTGGAGTGCATGATGCCACTGATCACTTCTTCCTTTTTAATTTAGTTTTTTTCTTTCCTTTTTTAAATTATATATTTGTGGTACATAATGCTTCCACTTATCTTGGGGAATTGGTGCATATTCCTCTTTTTTTGAAATTCTCACTTTCCTCGGTCTTTGTGTCGCTACCCCTTCCTGAATCATCTTCAATCTTTTTGGATGCTCCTCGATGGACTCCTTTTCCTGCTCCATCCTGACACAGCTGATTGGTGCCACTCCAGGCTCTCTCCTCAGCCCTCCACAAGCTCACCCTGGGTGACCCGACCCCTCCCGTGACTGTGCCCCATGTGAGTGCCGATGACGTCCAGTTCCGTCTCCGCTCCAGCTCCAAACTCATCTAATCAGCTGCTTTCTGGCAGTGTCTGTCTCCATTGATCCTCAACGTCCAAGGCTGAGGTCATCTATCCCTGCTGCCTCCCGCTGCTCTTTTCCAGGCCTCCAGTTCTCTGCGAGGAGCATCCACCTAGTGGCCTAATCATGAATCCCTCAAACCTGGCCCCGTGAAAGATTACTCAATCAGCACAAAGAAGCACAGTTTGGAAGACCAAGAAAACAAGACCAGGATGCTAAAAAATTATTCTGAAAGAATTTAGCACTTTAAAATAATGCAACTATCACAGTAGCCATGCAGGAAAAAAATAGAAACTTACTGGATTTTCTTACACTTGTGTTATGGTTGGATATTACTTTTTTCTGGATGATGCTTCCAGGAGGGTGGGTGGGTATGACTTATTCAAGGCTTAAAACCATTGAAGTCATTACTGTAGCCCATTCTCAATGACCCTTCTCCATGCACACTTGATTCCTAATCCCTGTTGATTCTGCTTCATTCACAACAATTGAACCATCTCTAATACAAGGCCAGAGCTTTGCTGTCTGCAGCCTGGATTGCTCTAGCAGTCTCTTTACCAGCTCTTCCTTGCTGTCCATCCATCACAGAGCTGTGACCTGCTTCCTGTATGTCACCCTTTTTTCTAAAATCTTTTTGTTGCTACTTAGTAACTTCAAGGAAGTTCCAACTGCCTGGCTATGCTGAGTAGACCCAGCATGCCCTGCCTCTCCTAACTTAGCCTGCTCATCTCCCTGTTAGGGTTTCACACGAAGCTTCATTCTGGATTTCCTACCCTTATTCTACCCGCTGCAAGTCTCACCCATTACCCCTGTGCCCAGCCCAGCTGGGGAAAAAATCTGCATGAGAAGTAAAGGAAAGGACAGGAGACTCTCAACACTGTGGTCTTCAGAAAGGAAATGACCTCCCCCTGCTGTCATTTGAATATGATTCGTCACCTCCAAAACTCATGCTGAAAGATAATCTCATGATGGGGCATGCCACTGCAAAGTTTGAAAAAGGGGGAAACGTAATCTGACTGTGGTTCAACCAGAGGCCTTCGGGAGGCGATTAGGACTAGAGAAGGACATCAGAGTGGAGCCTGCATGATGGGGTCCTGGTGGGTTTGTGGGTAGAGGGACAGAGACCTGAGGACCCACGCATGTGTGCTGCCTGTTTCTTGCCAGGAGGTGCCCTGTACCACCCTGCCACCCCAGGGCTGGGGACTTTGCCAGCAAGAAAGCCATCACCAGGTGTGGCCTCTCCACCTTGGACCTCCAGAGCTGTGAACCCAAGTAAACATCATTTCTTTAAAAGGGATCATGTCTGTAGTATTGTGTTATTAGCAATGCAAATCAGACAAACACACCTCTCACCTCGTAAAAGCCTTCAAAGGAGAAATAATCAAATATAACCACAAAATAAAGAAACGCGGAAGCCTCTTTTTGCCCCCCTGCTTGTCTTTTGATCACTACTTTTGCCCCTAAAATGCAGGTACATTCATTCCGGGGGGCCACATGCAGAAGAGGGCCATTGTCTTCTTCCCTCAATGCTCAGCTCAGTGAGACCATCTGCCGTCACCATCCATGAGCAAGCTGGCTCAGCTGACAGACCCCATGTCCTGTGTAAACAGTGGCTTGGAGAACGCTCCGTGCATTCCGGTCCGGTCCGGGCCCAGCCCCGACAGGGAGAAGGACATTACTCACTTGAGCCCGCCCCGCCCTGTTTGCCCATTTTCACCAGGGGGTTCGGGGGAGTGGGCGCGGAAGGCGGGAGAGCACAGGAGAGTGGAGCTGTTTGTTTTCCCCTTTGTGTTAACAATACAACATCTGTTCCCCAGCCTGGCAGCTGGAGCAAAGTGAAATGATGTGAGCATTCATTGCTGTCTGGATGAGGGGGTGGGAGTGGGAGAGAGGACGAGGGAGGGGCGCGGAGAGGGCTGAAGACTCCCTGAACAATAACAGCAACAATGGAAATATCTCTGATACCGCTTGGCAGGCACAGAGTCAGGAGCCCACAGAACTGTGTAACTTGATGTTCTGGTGGATGTACTTATTGTAACTAATGCACTGAATAGCGATCTGTGTGCACTTCCCTTCTGAGTATCTATTTTGGCTCATGGTCTGTGATGAAAAATGTCTTTATCTACCTAAGCGTGAAACTGAGAGAAGTACAATGAGACCAAAAGAGCAACCCGAGGGTAGAGAAAGGGCAGTGCAGGAAAGGAGGACTCAGAGTCTCTGGCACTTTCTCCTGCTTCACTCCTGTTCTTTCTCTTCCACGTTGGCTTGTTCCTTCTCATCTTGGATGTCTAAGACTGGTCTGCTCCAGAGCTCAGTGTCTTTTTATCTGCACTTAATCTCATCTAGTCTTGTGGCTAAGGGATCCATCTAAGTGCTCACCATTCCCAATTTATGCCCGTGGCCCAGACCTGTCCCTGGAATTCCAGCCAAGAAGGCAAGGCAGACTCTCCAGTCCTGGAGACTCGTTATGGCTCCTGGAAGGGCTCTGGGAGGGCTTGGTAGAAAACACAAACAAAGGCCTTCGTTCCAGTTCACAGAGCTCCTTCTGAGCCTTCATAGAGACTGCAAGCTCTAGACAGTCTCCCTTATAGGTGAGATGAGAATTTAGTTTTATTTGAAGGAAAAATAATATTTTCTACTTCGCTTCTGGTTCCTGATGTTGGCATTTTGTTTGACTTTTTTTGGCAGAAGAAAATCGTTTTGTCTCATGTTTTCTACTGAGTCATTGCTGAAGTTCCCTCAAGGCCCAAGTCTTAAATGCTTGGTCCCCAGCCTGTGGTGCCTTTAGGATATGGGGCCTAGTGGAAGTAAGTTAGACCATTGGGAGTGTGCCCTTGAAGGAACTATGGGAACTCTAGTCTCTGTCTCTGTCTCTGCTTCCTGGCTGTTATGAATTGGATAGACTTCTTCTGCCGTGTTCTCTTGCCATCAAGGAGTAGTGTGACACCATAGAGCCAAAGCTACAAGGCCAAGTGGCCATGGCCAAGTGAGCCTACATAAACCTTTACTCTTCTTAAGTTGATTATCTCAGGTATTTTGTCACAGGGATGGAAAGCTGATTGGCACAGTCATAAATGATTTCAATAGCTGAGTGAATAGGCACATTATAGTGAGGTTGCTTAATGAAGGCCTCCATTATAATCAGGATATAAAAATCAGTAAATGTAAGATAGTTTTCATTGGGTTTTATTATCATGTTTTATATAGCCTTTTATTTCTTTGTAAATTTTTTCTGATCTTCATTGTAGTACATGATATAAATTAGTATAAAGGTAGAAATATTAACTTTGCACCATTAAATCCACATCTGTTTTTCCAACTGCACATCAAATGGAAAAATAAGAAAGGTAATATGTTCATCTCCTAAACAGCTGAGGCAAGCATTTAATTAAAACTTCTACTAGGTCCCATTTTAAGGACAGATGGATATCTGCTCCTAAGTACATATCACAGGCCTATCCGAATAGCTCTTTTTTTTTCTTTTTCTTTTCTGAGATAGGGTTTCCCTATGTAGTCCAGGCTGATCTTGAACTCTCTATGTAGCCTTGGCTGACCTTGAACTCACAGCAATCCTTCTGCTTCTGCCTCTCAGCCCTGAAATGATAGGCATGTGCCACCATGCCCTAATAGCTCTTGAGATAGTTGCAGGAAGGGATGGTTGAAGGTGATATAATAAAGTAGGTCCTCCTTAAAGTTAATGACTCAATGTCAGGCCAAATGAAGCAAGAGTTAAGGTTGGTTTGGGAGAACATTTTGATGTTTCAGGTTTATTCTATTTCACATGTTTTTAAATCAGAGATTTTAGCTGGGTGTGGTGGTGCATGCCTGAAACCCCAGCACTTGGGAGGCTAAGGTAAGAGGATCACTGCAGGTTCAAGACTGTGTAAAAAAAAAAAAATCAGAGGTTTTAAGTTAACTAAAATTGCTTCAGAAAATGTTCTCAAAAATACTTCTGACATTTCGTAAAAAGAAAGTATAACTTTATTGCAACCAAAGGGATGTCGAAGACTCATCTGAATTTGACTCCCAAATGATAGCTTGTCTAGGGTTTGAAGACAGTTACTAAGTCTCTTTAGTAACTGTAATTTTCTTGGCTGAATATCTTTAGTTCCTTAGTGACTTCTTATGTGACAGGGCTGCCCAATTCTGAATGTCTTGTCTAGTTGTCATTTGGTGTACTTGTCAGTCTGAAAGTACGGCATCCAGAAATGAACTTACCACTTCAGGTGTGTAAAAGAAAGTGTTGCTTCTGTAGCCCTTCCTCAGAATTTTATGCTTCTGTTGATCCTAGCCACACCCACATTAGTTTGTCAACTGCATCCATTTTAATTCACACTGTCTCATAGTCAACTGAAGCCTTTAAAAGATCTGCTGTTATTTCCTCTCCTGAAAAAGGTTAATTTTTAAAGATTATATTTGAAATAATGATAGATTCTAAGAAAGTACGAAGAGGTCCTGCATGCCCTTCCCTCAGTTTCATCCAAAATTCACAATTAATTAAGGTATAGTATTCAGATCGGGAAAATGACATTGGGATATCAGGTCTATAGTTCTATGCCATTGTATCCATTTCGACTTGAAGGAATAGATCTGAGTTCATTAAATCATAGCCCTGTAACTACCCAAGTTTCTTTAAATGCTATCCTCTTTTTGATCATTTTAGAATTGTTTGTAATCATCAGAGTTGAATATTTGAAAGCTTCTCATTTCACTCAAACATTCTTCTCTTCATATTCCTAACATTCCTCCTGACATGAACAATAACAACAAAAAATCAGTCTCACAAATAGGAACCTCTTCTCTCAGTGTTCCCATATCAAGAAAAAGGTGCCACCCTTCATTCAGTTGCTCAAGTCAAAATTCTGGGAGACATCCTTACTCACCCCCTTCACTTACACTTTGTATCCAATGCATTGGCAAGTCCTACTGATTTTACTTCAAAAGTCATCCTGAAGCTGACAGCTTCTATCATCCCACATTATGATTGCCTTGGCCTAAGCCACTGTGGTCTAAGCCACTCCTGACTGTGGCCACTAACCTTGGCCTCCTAACTGGCTTCTTAGTCCTACACTTGCCATCTGTTCCACCTGAGGACACAGATGACTTTTAATCGAGCATGTTGAAGCATTGGTACTCTTCTGCCTAACATCTCCAGCCGCTTCCCATATAATAAGAGCTAAAAACTTATTTATACAACACTCATTTTGTGGTAAGTGATTTTAGTACTCATGATCCCCCTACCTAGGCTTTCTAGTGCTGGGGTTATAGGTGTGTGCTCATTTACTTTTAAGTAAATCCTGTTTTTTTAGAATCACTTAGGTTTCTAAAAATTAACAAATATGACTACAATATGCAGAATCTGCATAACTACCACTAAATTCTTACAATTCTTGACAACTTATTTTGATTTGATACATTTATTACAACCTATGAATTAATATTCACACATTATTACTAACTAAAATCTATGCCTTATTCAGATTACCTTAGTTTTTACCTTTTGCCCTTTTTCTGCTCCAGGATTCCACCCAGAAAACCACATGTTATACAATCATCAAGTCTCCTTAAGCACTTCTTAGCTGTCACAGTTTTTCCTTGTTTTTGATGACCTTGAAGTTTTTGAGGAGCTCAAACCAGGAATTTTAAAGAATTTCTCTGTATGGGGACTTGTCTGATGGTTTCCTCATGGTTACACTGGAGGGATGAATTTTAGTGAGCAGATCACAGAGGAAAAGCGACCTTCTCACCTCATCAGACCAAGGGGGCATGTCATCAATATGATTCATCATAGTAGATACTGACTCTGGTCACCTGGCTGAGATCGTCTTTATCATGTTTTTCTACTGTGAAGTCCTGCAAGTTATTCTCCCCACCTCCGTTCCCGGGATGGAAGAAAGTCACAGTGCACAGCCCATACCTGCAGGCTGAGGAAGTGGTGCTCCACCTCCTTGAGACTGAATTATCAAAATACATTACTCGAAATCCCACACAGGAGATTTCACTCTCCCCTTCATTATTTACTATGTATATCATCGATATGGTCTTGTGATTATTTACTCTGTACCTTAGGTTATAGTTTAATAGTACTTCATTTGGTTGCTCAACTTATTCCAGCTTTGCCCATGGGGAGCTCTTTCAGTTTTCTCCTGGGTCTCTTTAACCTACTTCCATCAACGCAGAGTTTTGCCTTGTTTTAGTTTTGAGCACTTCCTTACTTCCTACAAAATGTCTTAAACTTATCTTACATATTTCCTGCCCTAGTCCTGGAATCAGCCATTTCTCCAAAGAGTTTAGTCAGTTTTAAAAATAATACTTAGCACTATCTGACTTTTTATGATGTATTTATTTGTATATATATTTTTTTGTTTCTTCCTCCCCCAGCTGTGCTGTGAGTCTCACAAGACAGGAAGTTTGCTGTATTCCTAGTCAAAGCATCAATTTTGTTGAATCAGCTCTGACCAGGGGACCAGAGGTCTTTTTGCTTTGAACTCTACTCTGCTCTTCATGAGCTGGGAGCACAAAGTTTGCCATTTACTTGTTCTGCTCTTGGGAGAGTTAGGATTATTTTTTCCTAAAATTTTCCACAGCTTTGCAATCCTGATCATTCGTTATTTATTGATTGCCACTGAGCCTAGAATAGCAGTTCCCTCTGTTGGTGTCTCCATTATGTATGCAACAGAAAAATATAGAAAAGTTTTGTTTTGAGGAAAATGAGACAGATTTTCAGGTCTATGAAGGCAATTTCTCATCACAACGGCTTTTTAGATGCTGTGTTATGAGAACATCATTCTCCATTCAGCCGTGGTGCTATTGCTGGTTTTCCTTGTCTTCAACCTCCCTTTCC